TCGATGATGGGGTATGTGGGGACCAGTTTGCCGGTCAGGGTTTGCGTCGTAGGATCGATCTCGAGCTAATCAGGGGATTAGTACTTGAGTGAAAATACAGAATATTATCGATGGGTCGAATGTCGCATCACATACATGGTTGGCATGCGCGTAGTCAAGTCCAAGTTGTTCGGCAAGCCACTCCGCAAGAGGCTGGAAGCCTCCACTCAAGACTGCCATTTTGCAGCCGAGGGTCTTCAAGGCCTTGCACAGTTCACGCGCACCTGGAGAGATGGTGATGACGGACTTCAGCTTCTCGAAGACGTCCGCAGGAACACCCTTCAGCAGACTGACCCGCTCCCGGAGAGATGCGGAAAAGTCCAACTCGCCGTTCATAGCACGAGCCGTAATTTCCTGCCATCAATATCAGTATATACAATACCTTGCCATCGTTATGCAAAGCAGGTACGAACCGAAACCTCCTTCTCCACGCCGATGAACTTGGCAATCTCATCGATCACCTCGTTCTGGATCAATGTACTGTCCATATCAAACACCACCAAGCGCTTGTGCCGACGGAAGACGCTCTCTCGCTGGAGGACGACCTCCACATTCCATTCACGCTCGAATCGCCATATGCTCTCATGTTTCCGCAGGTCCTCAAAGGTAAGGTAGTCCGGGTTGGGAGGAGGCGAGAAGGTGACTTCGACGACGCGAGGCTGGTCGTGACGATCCAAGCAGCGATGCGAAGTGTTGGTGCGCTGATACGGGGTCGGAAGGGTTTCGATGATTTGAAGGAAGTTGGTCAGGCAAAGCTGTGATACAAACGGGCCGTACAGATGGTCAAGCGGCTCCGGCTCTGGGGCGGGAGGCTCCCGTGGGATCTTCTCGATATCGACCGTCGGGGCGGAACCTACGGGTACCATGGGTGATGGCAGAGTTTGGCCCGATCCAACATGAGGGGAGGAATCGGGGTGCAGATGGGGATGGATAGGATCAGCAGACTTGTAGTAGATCGTAGCGACCAGCTGCTGTGTTCCAGTAGGCAGTTCATTGGACTGTTGGTTGAAGATGCTGTGGATAATGCCACTGTCGGTGACCTTCTCGGGATCGGGGCTAATGGGATTAGCTTTGACAGACAGCGCAGCAAACGCTGACTCGGGAGAGTTGCCAATCACGTTGCCGATGGTCTGAATGGGGGCAGAGGGTTTGTACTGCTGATGATCCTGGATGAAGGATGCGCTGGACAGGGTCTGTCGCAAGACCGGGCGCGTTGGACGGCCGTTGTTGGTGGGGTTGGGCGCTGCCATTGTGCCGGACTAGAGAGTTTTTGGCGCAAAAGAGGAGAGGAGAGTTGAGTGAGTGAGGGGTGCAAGTGGGATTCGGAGGTAGACGGAGATTGATAGCACAGGGCGAGTATGCAAGCAGCGGATGATCCTCAAGCAATCAACGGCGAATCCACCCGGTGGGAACAAAACCCTCGACACGCTGGAGCAGTCGGGAAGCAGAAGGGAGATGCGAGAGCGTCTAGACAAGGTCAAAACGAGAGTCTGGCTTTGAACTCAACGGCGAATTTCCCCTGCAGCTCCGATCGGCCGCACGTGGTGGGGGATCCCGTGCCCCTCGGTCACATGAGCCCGAGTCATGTGCCTTCACCGCCCGGCAGAACCAGGCCAACTTCTTCCCCACCCCAAGAAACATGAAAGATGGAGATGACGATGATATCAATCTTTGGGGAAGGGGGGATACATGGAGCAGAGCAAGCACACTCCAACTGCCACCATCGGTTCAGTATGACAAATAAGGGTCTATTCTGACTAGTCGCCAAGACAATGACAATGACACTAGATCTAGTTATCTACCAGTGTCTGACTCAAATCAGCCGGGTTTGTTTTCTAAGCAATTCCTCTCCTCCAGTCCGACGCTAATCATCAACTAGATCTACACCTCCCTGGGGCCAGAAAACAGACCGGAACAGGGATACCATGCCTTCATCAAGATAAGATGAGCAACGGCTACACGGACTTGCCGACCCGGATGAACTTTGATGCCCTTCGCCCAAGTTCTTCACTGTTCCAACTTCACTGTGGACCATGCTGGATTTATCAGCAATGGCACCTGCGGCGGTTGTTTCAGTGGATGAGCTAAGCGTATCCGGGTGCGCAGAGTCACCCAAAGCGCAAGTATTGCGTGATTTCCCCAGGACATGAGGAAATTAAATTTTTCAGCCCAGTCGCCCAATTGTGCAGGCGGTCACAGACAATGTCGTGATCGAGAAACGGCAGAATAAGCCGGCATGTATGAGGGACTGAGGGCAGGAAGAACGGGTGCCCCCGACCCGATGATGTCGTGATTGCCCCTGTCCTGTCTTTCTTTTATATCGGACTGGTCAGGTCGTCTCCATTGTGTTCTGTCTACATCATCTCTTGCCTCCCACATCAGTTCCAAGTCCTTCCGTCATCCCTCCAAGTCTGTCGAGCCATTACATATATACCCGCTTGTATTTCATCTGCTCGTCCTTGGGATTGACTTGTCTACCATATACCCTGTCATCCGACTCCTCATTCACCATGCCTGCGAAGACATCTGAGAACTACCCCTCTGCCTATGAGGCTGCCGACACTGCCACCGACTCTGGCTATGTCAGTGGTGGCTCTAGTGATGACTACTCTCCAGAAATCGTCTTCACTAAGCCTCACTTGAACTTCCTCAACAGACAATTGCAGTTTCTTGAGCCTCAAGGTCAGCATGGGTTGCCCCTTCCACGCGTCTCCAGGCCGAGTTGACTAACACAAATGCAGACGTCCTGAGATGGTGTGTCACCTCTCTGCCTCACCTCTACCAGACCACCGCTTTCGGTCTCACTGGTCTTGTGACCCTGGACATGCTGTCCAAGCTGGACGTGCCCAGACCCCAGATGGTTGATCTCATCTTCCTCGACACCCTCCACCACTTCAAAGAGACCCTGGATCTGGTCGACCGTGTCCGCCAGAAGTATCCTCTGGTCAACATCCACGTCTTCAAGCCTCGGGATCTCGAGACCGAGGAAGAGTTCGCCCAGAAGTACGGTGCCCGTCTCTGGGAGAAGGATGACCAGTTCTACGACTGGGTGGCCAAGGTTGAGCCTGCCCAGCGTGCCTACCGCGAACTCAACGTTCACGCTGTCCTTACTGGACGTCGTCGCAGCCAGGGTGGCAAGCGTGGTGACCTCGACGTCATCGAGGTTGACGAGGCTGGCCTGATCAAGATCAACCCTCTCGCCAACTGGACCTTCGAGCAGGTCAAGCAATACGTCCAAGAAAATGATGTTCCCTACAACGAGTTGCTCGACCGTGGTTACAAGAGCATTGGTGACTACCATTCCACCCAGCCAGTCAAGGAGAACGAAGATGAGCGGTCTGGTCGCTGGAAGGGCCAGGAGAAGACCGAGTGCGGTATCCACAACCCTCGCTCCAAGTATGCTCAGTTCCTTATGGAGATGGAGCGTAAACGTCAAGAGGAGGCCCTATCGCAGGCTCTTCAGACGTCCTTGACGACGTCTGCTCAGTAAAGGCCGCTTGTCTTCTTTCTCACCTTGCATCTACACTGGCGTTCGATGACCTGGGAGTTTTATTTGGAGTGGAGTTACATAGCCTTGTTGATTTTATTGTTTCAAAAAGAGACCTCATGGTATGGGAAAAGGAGGATTATGTTTTATGACATCTGGGAATTCAAAGGCCGCTCGTCAATCCTACTCCGATTGGAGATACTGTACATACAGGGTTGGCGGAGACTGGCAGTGATTTGCAAAAGACGGCTTACAAGCCAAGTACATTAATGACTTGCATGATACAAATGATTAGACTATTTTATTCTACTTTTCTTATTTTTCCTACATTAAGCTTGAATTGGACCCTATCTGTAGACTCGTGGAGTGTAGGACTGTGGGGTGGGGTGTTCGAACGTCAACCCTATCCGATATCGCACCCGACCCAACCGAATAGGAAGTGAATTGGCTACTACCTATGAATCCGTTGAAGGATATTTTGCTGATTCGGATCGCCCGGAACTGCCTATTGATCTTCTGTAAATCCTGATTGAATTTCTTCGATTCTCAACAAATACTCAACAGATGACCAAGACCCTGCCAAGACCATAGATACTACGTTGAGCGCCTCCGGATATAGTGCAGTGGGCTAGATTACCCCAGCCTGCGGTTGAGAATTGCTTGTTATCCTTATAGACCAACAACAGCAGAGCTTTTCCAAAAGATTACCTAACATGAATTAAATATAGTATGATTTAGAAGATTTAGTAGATTGGTAAATAGCCCGGATGTAATCCGAGGACCTGTGAATTTCCTGTTGCAGTTAGTTTTGCCGCTTTCGGCTTAGTCGTCTGATACGCCGTACTGTTATCATTGACCGTTCACTTCCTCCGAGTATATAAGAACCTCCTACTCTCTGGCCCTCCTTCACCTATATCTCTTCTTTTGATACTTGTAGATGCGGAAACTATAAACCACATGTGTCTGATTACAGGTGGGTTTGTTATTTTTATTGTACTGTTCTGGTTTATTCGTCAGGACAGCTATACCAAACCCAAGGCTATTATACTGGAGAGTAGTGCCTTGGCCAAGGATGCCATCTAATGCGGGGGATTGTACTGTATATGGGGGAGTAAAATAGTCCTGATGAGTTTAATAGTATTAATTAGTGCCAATCATATACAAGACATCTGCAGATATACAGTTAGGTCACTTTCTGTTTATAGCCTGTTGGTGATATAGCCATAATGTATGATGACTACTACTACTCACTACATCTCCTACCCTGATATAAAGCAGCGTTCTGACTCTTCCGTGATTTTGCTTGTTCTCATGTCAACTGGCAACTGATAACGCTGTATATCACGTGACATCATCTGGTAAGTATGTAGTGCCTCCGACGCCATCCGTCTCCAACCACTCACCAATGACAGTCTTCAAATCTACTCTCCGTTCGCTTCTACCGCAGAAAGCCATGGGATGGGTAGAAGCTGGTGTTCATCATGGCCGATAGCGCATATCCCTACGACACCAGCCTGGTGCGCGAGCTACTAAAGAACAAGCGCAAGACCCGCGGAATCCGGTCCTGTTTTCCCTGTCGACATCGCAAGGTTCGCTGCGACGGCCAAATCCCGTGCTCCAGCTGTGTCAAACGCAACCATCCTGAATTATGTCGTGTGCCGACTTCTTCTGAGGCCGGAAACGAGGATCATGCCCCGTTTCCCTCGACTGATGTTCCTCAGGAACCATTTCAGAACCTCCATTCGACGTAACTAAGAGGCCGTCCTCCATCTTCCCTCCCCAAACTAACACTTGCTCTGCAGGAACCTCGGTAGCGACAGTTCAGTCGCCGCTCCAAAAGGCCCCACAGTATCTCTTATTGCTCGCCTGGAGGCCATTGAGGACCAAATCTCCTCGCTGAAGGCCGATCTCTTGGCCACGGCAGCAACGGCATCCACGCCTGCCTCGCAGCCTAGTCCGCTGCCCGGCATGCGCGTACGACCTGCCAGCAGATCACCTGGTCGGTATCTTATCGATGATGCTACAGGTGCAACGATCTACCTGGGTCGACACGCAGACGCGCCGCTGGCGCTGGGCTATCGTCAGACAACGACGACGTCGGCGATGACGGGCGATTTCTCTCTGCAAGACGCCTTGATCAATCAATGCATGCCGCGGGCATACCCGTTTATCAACCTCTGGGGTGCGGGGGCGACCGTGCAAGATGTGTGCGAGACGCTGCCGGATGATTCAGATGTGATTCGGTGGGCTCCCTCTTCCTATACCCATCTCTGACGGAATGTGCGCTATGCTAATGGACATGCAGCTACTGGCAGGCGTATCAGTCTAAGGCCTATCCGTTCTACCCGGCGTTGGTGGCCATCGACGCGTTTGCGCAGGCACTGTTCGCCTTCTTGGACCAGCGGATGTTGCCAAACGAGGCGATGACGCCGGTAGAGGAGCCAAGCTCGTCTTGGATGGCGCTGCTGTTTGCTGTCCTGGCATGTGGGGTCCAGTTTTCGGATGATCCGATCCAGGAGCGCGATCTGCGGTCCAAAGTCTTTGGTAAGTTGACTGCTGTAGTAAGGGGAGTTGTATTTGAGCTAAAGCGCTGACAATGGGCAGTTTGCTCGTCTTTCCAGTGTCTGCGCATGTCCAATTTCTTCTACCAAACCAACCAAGACCAAATTCAGGCCATGGCCTTGATCGGACACTGCCTGCGAAACAACCTGGATACCAACAGTGCATGGATCCTCATGGGTAAGAGCTGCACTATTCCATATATAGTTCTTTACACGAGGCTTTTGTACTGACTGAGGCAGGTGCAACCATTCGGTTGGCGCAGAGTATCGGGCTTCATGAAGCGTCTCCATCTTTGCCAGAAGCAGAGCAGTTTGAGCGAAGCAGGTTGTGGTAAATGCCATCGAGCCCCCTCCCCTGTGTATCGTACGTTTTAACATGATTATCAGGTGGATGCTCATCTGGCAAGACACATTCCTCTCATTCACATACGATCGCCCCCTCAGCACAGCAACTATCTGTCCGATTCCATACAAGCACGGACCGGACGGTCTAAGCTTCCAGGAATGCGTCTTCGCAATCTGCCATCAGATCATCGAAGAAGCACGCCAGGAGACCACAAATGGCCCGCAGGATCCCTTAGAAAGAATGCACGAATCTAAACGCCAACTTGACGGCATCCGCGACGCCGCCGCCCCCTTCCTTGCCGATAAACGACGATGTGTCTCGCTGCAGGACCATCTCGAGCGGCTGGCGCTGGGTGTCCACCTTGGGTATGTGACCTGCCGAGCTGACCGGGTCTACCTGGATGGCCTGGATGGCGTCCCTCCAACCGGTGTAGCTGTCGATTGCGTGCAGCGCGCGATGCAGGCCATCGAGAGCTTTCTCGATCTCCACCGATACTCAGCCAGCGTGTGCCGCTCCTGGGCCTTTGTCCACAATGCGGTAAGCTGTGCCATCACGCTCAAAAGCCTCAATCACATACCACCCGATGAGCGGCACAAGTCAGATCTCCTCTTACAGCGACTGATAGCTGTGCTCGAGAAGGAGGAGAAAGACTCCGAGTGGTGCGACAACGACACCAACGTGCGTTACTTCGGGCCGTACTCGAGGGCTCTGAAAGCCCTGCGTGAAACTTACCACAGTGCCAGCTGACTACGTACTTGCTGATCTGGAAAAGTCATAGAACATCTATTTTACATTCACGAATCATCTTGTTCATCAGTCTATGTACAAAATCCCCTTGTCAATCACACGCGGCGCTTGGCCCGAACGTAAAAGTTCAAAGGCCGGATGAGCTGGAACTCAGGATCGTAATCGATGGCCTCTTGGCCGTCGCGTACGAACTCATACCGACTTACCAGCTCTGCTAGCAGGACCTTCACCTCCAGCAGGGCAAAATTGAAACCGATACAGCCGCGCGGCCCCGTCGCAAACGGTACATAGGCGCAGCGGTGGCGGTTCTTGACCTCGTCTGTGTCCCAGCGATCCGGGTCGAAGCGGAAGGGATCGCGCCAGATCTTGGGATTGGTGTGGATGGCATACAGGGCAGGCACAATGACGCTGTCAGGCGGGAGGCGATAGCCACCGGGGAGGACAACGTCGGTCTTGGTGGTGCGGCCAGGCTGGAAGGAGGCGTTGTGCAGCCGCTGCGTCTCCTTGACGAAGCGGTCCATGTACGGCAGACTGTGTGCCAGGTCCGGCGTCCAGGCTGTCTGGTTGCGCTCGCCTGCAGCGCCCACGATACCATGCTCTACCAGCTCTGCGTACAGCCGGTCCTGCGTACCCTCGTACGTGACGAGGCAGTAGATGAGCCACGACAGCAGCGCCGATGTCGTCGTGAAACCAGCCCCTGTCACAATCAGCATGTTGGCCAGGATCAGGGGCGGCGGGAAGTGCGCCCCTATCTCGTCGACCGCGTGCAGCAGGTAGTCGACGACACAGGTAGCAGACAGCGCGGCGTCGGCCATGGGTGCGTCGCTGCTGGAGGACTCGGCCATCACCGTGTCGACCTGCTCCTGTAGCAGCGAGTAGATGGTGTGCTGGACGTGGCGCAAGCGGGCCGGGTCGCCGAAGGGCAGGTGGCGATACCATTCGCCGCGGGCTGTGATTTTCTTGTTGAGCGAGAGCAGACTGGCAATGTTGGTGACGATGGGGTGCAGCGGGCTGTCAACGGCATTGAAGTGGCCGAAATCCTTGCCGAGAGAGAAGCGGCCGATGGTCTGGGATGCCAGTTTCACCATATACTGGTAGACATTCCAAGACTCGTCGCGGGCGTCCAGCTCGTCGAACACTGGTAACGACTTGCGCGCACACTCCTGCATCAGCCCCGTGTAGTGCCGCACTGCCTTGGGCCCCATGGCTGGCGGCAGGTACTTGTGCGCCAACCGCCAATTCTCTGTCTCCGTGTCACCGATGAAGATGGCTGTGTTATCTTTGACGCCCCAGAGCGGATGATCAGAGTTGATCTTCTTGGTCATGTATGCTGACTCGGCGAAGCACACTGCCGCCACTTGCGGATCGTCCGTCAGGTAGATCGTCTTACCCATGTTGGTTGTCTTGATCACGGGCCCATACTTGCGGAACAGCCGGTAGTGGTTACCCAGGTGGTCTGGAAAGATTTCATAGAAACTGCCAACAAGCGGGAGGCCTGGAGGGCCTTGTGGTGCCTGCACGGCGTTGCCATCGATACGCAGGCCGACGGGGGAGGTAGTATTCGTCGCGGCTGCGAGAACCTCAGACACCGTCGTCAGAGTATCATTGGACGCTGTGTAGAAAGACATGCCGGTAGGCTGAACGACGTGAAATACACCCCCGACGGCGCGTTGGAGGTCTTCGAACTTCCAGAGGCTGTCGACTTCCAGGCACTGCGCTGTGGTGACGGCGTCACCAACGAGGTAGAAATGACACTGCATGATGTGGAGAATAAATGTGCTTGAGGACAGCAGACAGAATTGGTCTGACAGGCACAACTTTTATATTCAAATTGAAGGCGAGAGTTGACCTTTACATCTCCGATAACTGCTTAGTGCTTGGAGACACTTAAGGGCCACCTCCGGACATTCGTGCTAACCTCGCACGAACTTCGGCCGAGGTCTCCGTCTATGCGTGCACGGGTGTTCGGAAACACCACACTTACGATGTGGACAATATTTATATAGTATGAACTGTCTCTGCGAGATTAAACAGCCTACGACACACAAACCACCATGGCGACGTTCACTCTGGATCAAGTGCAGAAGCACAACACCGCTGACGACCTCTGGATCGTCCTCCATAACAAAGGTCAATCACTTAACTCTCCTGCCTTGCAGAACCTCGAGTTAACCATCGACACAGTCTACAATATCACCAAGTATATAGAAGACCATCCCGGTGGAAAGGAAGTCCTCATTGAAGTTGCCGGCAGCGATGCCACTGAAGCTTTTGAAGAAATTGGCCACTCGGATGAGGCGCGCGAGCAGCTAGAGCCCTACTTTGTTGGCGATCTGCCTTCTGAGGTACTACGCTCACCCTAACCTCAATACATACTCTAACTTGTCTAGGAACAAACCGAAACTGTGGAGATCTACCGTCCAACCTTTGAACAGGTGTCACAGTCCGCTGCTATCGACGTGAAGAAGACCTCATGGGGATCCATCCTGCGCACGGCAAGCAAACTGGGACTTGGCGGCCTCATCGGCACAGCCGTCGTAACAGCCTATAACCGGGGCATGACGCCCTCACAGGCCCTCCAGGTCGTGCAATCGGCGCTCTCCTTCATCCAACTGCCACGCGGCACTGGTAGCGATGGCAGCAGCCACTTCTGGCTAGGTGCAGGCATCTCCAGCATCGTTCAATTCTCCGCCACAGTCGGCCTGGGCCTATGGGCGTCGACGAAGCTGGATGTACAGCAGGAGTTCACACACTACGCACCACACCGACCATCCAAGTCAGCACATCTGATGCGTCTCCCCAAGACAGTCACCACCATCTCGAGGCCGAAACCTCTCGACCCGCGACAATGGCGACCCTTCACCTTGACCCAGAAGACAGAGATCGCCCCGCACGTATACCACATCGTGTTTGCCCTGCCAAACCCCGACAGCATCCTAGGCCTCCCAACAGGACAGCACATTGCCCTACGTGCAACAATCAACGGCACCAGCGTCGCACGCTCATACACCCCTGTATCAAACAACAACGACCGCGGCCGCATCGAGCTCCTCGTGAAAGTCTACCCACAGGGCGCAATGACACAGCACCTAGCGCAGATGAAAGTGGGCGATACCATCGAGATCCGCGGCCCCAAGGGTGCCATGCAGTACTCCCCGCGGTATGCCAAACACATCGGCATGATTGCCGGCGGAACCGGCATCACCCCTATGTACCAGCTTATCCGCGCCATCTGCGAGGATCCGACAGACACTGATACGCGCGTCTCACTTCTGTATGCTAACAACACCGAGGAGGACATTTCGCTTCGCGCAGAGCTTGACAAATTTGCCCGCGATCATCCGGATAGGTTTCAGGTGCATTATGTGCTCAGTAAGCCTGGGGATGATTGGACAGGCTACCGGGGCTTTGTGACTGCGGAGATGATTCAGAAGCATTTGCCTATTGCTGGACCGGACAGTAAAATGTTGCTGTGTGGGCCGCCGCCCATGGTGGGGGCTATGAAGAAGGCGTTGTTGGGTTTGGGATGGACTATGCCGGGCGCGGTGGCGAGGGCTGGAGATCAAGTGTTTTTGTTCTAGTAGCTTAGCTGAATAATTCGATTTTAAAAATACGTTTCTTTCTTGCATCCATAGAATTACCGAATCAAAAAGCCGCTTAGCCGCTTCGCCGCGCTTAGTAGCCACTTCTTCCTATTCAACCATATCGCTAGTATAGCAAAGATAACTTCACTTCCTTCCCTAGTCAGTCCTACATTAGTATCACAATCCCATCAACTCATAAAAGCTGCCAATACAGCTGTTGATCTATACAGACCTAGCGTCAAAATCACTTCCTCGCTACTCCACAAGTAAACACCCGGCTACTTGTCTCTGAGGCCTGAATACCATTTCCCTTCCCCATAAACTAAGTAGTTTCGTCACTTCCAGTAGTGACTTTGTAATCAAGTACATATAATGTGCTTTCTTTTTGAATTGAGCCTAGCCTAATGTCAAAATTATACAGAAATTACCAACACCTATGATGTAGAATAGATGAGCCTTCCTTCCTTCCTTCCTTTACCAATACATCATTGCAGTCAGTCAACTTCCCCCCCACCACCCCCCCAAGTCTATTATTCTAAAGGCAGTATAATCCGGCCTCAGTATCCCACACTAAACTGCACCCAGGACCCTCCAACACCCCCAAACTCATCCGGCAAACCGGCATACCAACAGAACAAACCTCCTCAAAACTATCAATCTAGAATACTGGACGGGCCGATAACCGGTATCCCCATATAATCTGGTTAACTATACGTGGACTGGTTTGTGGAGCTCTAGTTATGGGAATTTGGTTCTGGTTCTAACTGGCATATAACTATCTCCGAAGTGTATCCGTTCCGAGTCCGAGGGTCTCCGAGAGGTTCCGTGGCGTGTCCGATGGGTTTGGGGGTTCGGCTTCCCGGCATCGGGAGTGTATATGCTATTTACTACCTTTTGAAGCAGATGTTTGGGAGGTTGGAGAAGAGAAGAGTAGTAGTTTTGGGTCGTGGTACTGGACAGGATTCTTACTGGTAGAGGGTAATTTAGTATATAATGTCCTCCTCCCACAGGTAGATGATTTTCCTGTGCTGTGCCCTATCGAACACATTTATCTACTATTTCATAGATCTGCACTTGTACTACTTACTAAATCTCATTGTCCAATCTACTACAACAAAAATATACAATGTCTACAACTACAACTATCCCCCACCCTTCCAAAACTCGCCCCATCGTCATCATCGGTGCTGGCGTCCTGGGCCGCCGTATGGCCGCTGTCTTCTCCTCCGCCGGCTACAGCGTGCACATCAACGACCCATCGCCTTCAGCTCTCGAATATGCAAGAAACTACGTCTCAACGCACCTTCACGAATTTACTACCCATACCCCAAAGTGTCCTCCCCCTCCAGGCCAAATCTCAACCTTCACCTCCATCCCCGAAGCAGTGTCCACAGCCTGGCTCGTCATCGAAGCTATTCCCGAGAACCTCCCTCTCAAGCAATCTCTCTTCGCCGACCTCCACGCTCACAGTCCCTCAGACTGCATTCTCGCATCTAACAGCAGCTCCTTCAAGTCCCGCCTCATAGGGGCCCATCTACCCCCGTCACGACGAACCCTTCTCCTCAACATGCACTTCACTATGCCGCCGGCTATTCGTACCGTGGAACTCATGACCTGCGGGGATACAGATGAGCGGGTATTCCCTATGCTAAGTGGGGTGCTGACTGAGTGTGGGGTTATCCCCGTGACGGCGAGGAAAGAGTCCACCGGTTTTATATTTAATCGGCTCTGGGCGGCGATTAAGCGTGAAATACTGATAATCCTGGCGGAGGGGGTGAGTGAGCCAGCTGAGATTGATCTGTTGTGGAGGGAGATGTTTGGCCAGAGAGAGAGTTTGCCGCCGTGTCGGTTGATGGATGCAGTGGGGTTGGATACGGTGGCTAATATTGAGGAGAATTATGTGGAGGAGAGGGGTCTGGATGGGATTCTGACGGTGAATTGGGTGAGGGAGAAGTTTGTGAAGACTGGCAGAGTGGGGAGGAAGGCAGGAGGGTTGGGGGGATTGTATCCGCCGGAGTTGGAGGTGGATGGGGAGAAGAAGGAGGAGGAGGGAGAAAAGCCTCTGCTCTACCTTCTTGATGTTGGGCTGGGAGCGAATACTCCTGATATCGAGAATATTCCTGTGGCTGGGAGGATACTGAAGTTCCAGCCGGGCAGGGCTGGTACTGGCACGCCCGTCCCCATCGTCATGGGCCAGTCTCTCCCTGATGGTATTGATGTGTCCCAGACGGCAGGACGCATCTTCTGGACGAACATGGGACGGTCGACATCCACTCATGACGGCTCCGTGCACTCAGCCACACTAGATGGTCAGGATATATGCACCCTACTCCCAGCCGGGAAAGTGCATACACCCAAGCAGCTTGTTGTCGATGATACAACGCAGCATGTGTACTTTTGCGATCGCGAAGGGATGGGCGTGCATCGAGTGCGGTTTGACGGGTCCGGGCATGAGGTGCTGGTACAGACAGGAGCACTTGACAGTCCCGCCCACCGCGGAGACATGACCCGGTGGTGTGTGGGAATTACATTGGACCGAAAGAATGGACATGTGTATTGGACGCAGAAAGGGCCAAGTAAGGCTGGGAAGGGCCGGATTTTCCGTGCTGGTTTGGAGATGCCAGCTGGCCAGACAGCGGAGAGTCGGTCTGATATTGAACTGGTATTGGAAGGATTACCAGAGCCGATTGACTTGGAACTAGATGAGGAGGAGGGATTTCTGTATTGGACGGATCGGGGGGAGCATCCGTTGGGGTGTTCGCTGAATAGGGTCAAGATTGTTAGTGATAGCGGTAAGGTGATGGATGAGTCGAGGAAAATCCTGGCGCGGCATTTCAATGAGCCTATTGGGTTGAAGTTGGACAAGAAGGGGAAGAAGGTATATGTTACTGATTTGGGAGGAAGCTTGTATATTGTGAACTTGAAGAATGGGGAGAAGAAGGTGGCATGGAAAGATGAGGGGTGTTATACTGGAATTGCATTGTTAGTGTAGTAGAAGAGTTTTGACTATTTTATGTGTTCGACAATAGAGGGTTTGGATGCTTTTCTCAATGTATTCGTTGAAGTCACTTCCGAGGAAAAATCGTCGCATACTAATGTTTGCTTGGAGACGATGGGGTTCGTCGCTAGATCGGGACATGAGTCACCAAGGGAGAACTATACACAGTCGGACGATTCGATGACTCACGTCCTGTCTTAATGTGGCTAGAGAGCTCAGGCTCTAGGCGCACGTCGGGCGCAACAACCTCCGCAGCTCATCTGTCTGCCTAGCCACATTGGTACCCTTCGAATCATGGTGACTACAGAGGGAGTTGATTTTTCTTTATTTACATTGTAATTCCCACACTTACCTACACATATCTACACATTCCATTGTGCCTCTCTTACTTGTCCTAAGCCTAATTTATTATTTCTATGGAGAAGGCATTTCACAATATACTTGGGGAAAATAGCGATATCATGAGTGTCAAGCCATTCACTCACTCGCACTCCTCACCTCCCTTCGGGAAAATCTTCCGCATCACATAATACTTCCGGAGAATGAGTAAATTCACTTTGATACGACAGTTCCAGATTCCTGGCATATGAAGGGATGTTAAGTTTTCTGTTGTGTTTCATTTCAACCTTGGATACGTGACAGGAAAGTGATCTTATCTTATCAATCTAATCAGTACAACCTTATCAGCGGCAGGAGAATGGGTTTGTTGCTTCTCGTGCGAGAGATTCTAGGTTGATTGTTCTGCCCCATTTTCTTTTATGTAAGAGTATGGGGTTGGTGTTTTACGTTCTAGATTCGAATATGCTTAAGAATTTCTTGGAAGGGCGGCTTATGTGCCACTGTTTCCCCAGGGAACGTGCACTTTCTCGCTTACTTTTTAGCTTGGATTGTTGGACAGTTGGGAGCGCTGGTTGATTAAAAAGGATTAGCAGCAGGATCGCAGGCACTCAAATTGTTAAAAGACTGCTTGCTTGGTTTGGGCCCTAGATTTACTATTTTGCCTGCTTATAGATCCTCAATCGAAGTAAGTTAAGGCTTTCGGCCTTATGATTCATGCATGACAGGTGTTGTGGCCCGACGATGCGGTGTAGGGCTATACTAGTTGGTTGCATCATTTACTTCCAATTATCGTCATTCTTGGCTACACCACAAGAAAGGATTGCATACGTCTGCAACCCCTCCCGCTCTTTAAGAGAAGCCACATCCCGCGCTCCCGGACCCTGAGACCCTGAACTAAAATACGATCACGTCGTGAACAGTTCCACAGCGGACCGACGCAAGTCAGATGAGTTCGTGATATACTATGTGTGCGTGGAGTGGCTGTTCAGTGTTACCGCCTGGATGATGTCGGCAGACTCAACACTAGCACTAGGTGCTTGTCAAGCGTTCCCCGGGCTACTGCTTATTCGAGACGAGTGACACAGGTCTTTTACTAGGCGAATTGACACTACTAGGAAAACCTTGACTGACATCTCCGCGGATACTGCAGCTGGCTGAGAAATCATTATCAGATTTTGATCTTCTGGTTTTATTCTTCCGTTGTCAGGGTGTCCCAGCAGCAGGTCGCTGCTTAGGGCAAGCGGGTCACCTGAGCGACAGGGCGGAACCGGTGCCAAGGAGGGACTAGGCCTCGGCTGGCGTAGTCAATCACGCAAGCCGAGCTGGAGATGTCGTGATCCCAGCACGTGATTTTTTGCGGCGGCGATTTTTTTGAAACGCGGCGGACGACCAAGGAAATCGTGTTTGACTGGTATGTTTCAAACCCGTTTTGCCGGCTCGGCCTGACATGTACAAGAAGGATCGGAACAAACTTTCTATCTGAGAAATGTCCACGCATGCGATTGACATCTCGCATACGCTGGTGCTTTACTTAAACGGCAACTATTCTGTTGTCGCCCCTGAAAATCATGACTTGTTCTGGGCTCCGTAGACCCAGCGGGGGAAATTATGTGGCTTTCAACATGAGGTTGATGACGACGATTGGGGGGGGCAGCGATTATCCCCCGTGGTTACGAGGGCCGCCCCGTATCTCCGAGGAGAGCCCATCCGCCATCGGAGGTACAAACGTAGTTCCAAGTTCAAGTATAGAATAGAGGCGTCGGCTTAAGCGCCCGCCCTTCTAGAAGGCCCTAAAAATAGAGAACTTATGAGGATAGCATGCTGGAGACAAGCGATGGCGCCATCGCGCTGGAATTGAGCAATTGCGAATGCGACGTGTGTGCAGCCTCATCGGGGGGGAGGAAAAGAAGGACAGACAGACGTACGACACAAAGGCATACGTAGACGCTCTTCGTACCAAGAGTCCGACAGCTCCACCACCTTTCGACGAGACCGCAGGACAGATCCCGATGGTTGATTTGGCTGGAATGGAGAACTTGACGGTCGTTGGAGAAAGCATATTGGTCATCGCTGGAGTCCCTCAATCTCCTGAATTGCTCGAATTGGATCATTGCCTTGGTTGCTCCGCTGTTCCCCTCTTGACCCCTTCCTGAACTTTTTTTTCCCTTTCCACTCTTCATAAACTCCATTCTTCTTCCTTCTACCCCCCTCCACTCTTCTCTTTCTTCTTTATAATCCTCTGGGACCCTCCAGACCCTCTCCTGTCCTTCCTTTCTTTTCTCATCACATCTTTGCTTGAGTGGAAATCCATCCCTCATCATCCTTTCACAATGGCCAACTCTCCCCACGGTGGTGTCCTTAAGGACCTTCTCGCCCGCGATGCTCCCCGCCACGACCAGCTGGCTGCTGAGGCGGAGATTCTCCCTGCCCTCACTCTCACTGAGCGCCAGCTCTGCGATCTGGAGCTCATCATGAACGGTGGTTTCAGTCCTCTGGAGGGTATGTTGCCAATCATCCTACTATCTCCGTTCTGGTTGCCCGCGACTATCCGTCCGCTTGCAACCGCCGCGGGGTGAAATCGTCAGTCTTGGCTAACTCCGGGCGCAGGCTTCATGAACCAGAAGGACTTCGACGGGTATGCTCCGATTTCTCAAACCCCATCAATCTACGCCAGTAGTCCTCGAAGCGACACTAGATTAACAGGAAGAGGACCTGTTCAACAGGCGAAAGTATTTGGGGGACATTTAGCTAACATCGGTTTTCGTTCAGTGTTTGCGAGAACTGCCGTCTTGCCGATGGCAACGTTTTCTCTATGCCCATCACCCTCGACGCCTCCCAGAAGACCATCGACGAGCTCAAGCTCAAGGCCGGCTCTCGCCTCACCCTGCGCGATTTCCGTGACGACCGCAACCTGGCCATCCTGACCATCGACGACATCTACCGCGCTGACAAGTGAGTGGAGCCCCTCTTTCCTCTTTTCCTTGTGAATTTTTCCGTACGAATGGGAATCGCGGGACCTTGGCGATCGCTATATCTCTGACTTGAACGGGGCGTTCTTGAAACGAGAGATTGGCATCGCCGGCCTTGGTTTCCCACGGGCGGAGTTCACTAGCCGTCGGGGATTTTGCAGATAGTGGGTCTCGATGACGCGGATGGGCTAACGATGTGCTTTTCACCCCCTAATTTAGGCAAAAGGAAGCCAAGCTGGTCTTTGGCGGAGACCCGGAACACCCTGCCATTAAGTACCTGAACAACACTGTCCAGGAGTTCTACATTGGTGGAAAGATCGAGGCTGTCAACAAGCTCAACCACTACGACTATGTCGCTCTTCGCTGTATGTCATTGCCCGTGCGCGATCCTTGCGACCGCCTCCCGATTCATGTACTGACCGCGCGGGCCTCCCAATTTAGACACTCCCGCGGAATTGCGTGTCCACTTCGACAAGCTCGGCTGGTCCCGAGTTGTCGCTTTCCAGACTAGGTACGTGTGGCCGAGACCAGCTATAGAGCACCCGTTATGATGCGCGCGCGACCTTACGACTAACGGCCCTCTCAGAAACCCCATGCACAGAGCTCACCGTGAGCTGACCGTCCGTGCCGCTCGCGCCCGTCAGGCCAATGTCCTGATCCACCCCGTCGTTGGTCTCACCAAGCCCGGTGACATTGACCACTTCACCCGTGTCCGTGCCTACCAGGCCCTCCTGCCCCGCTACCCCAACGGAATGGCGGTCCTGGGTCTCCTGGGTCTGGCTATGCGTATGGGTGGTCCTCGTGAGGCCATCTGGCACGCTATCATCCGTAAGAACCACGGTGCCACTCACTTCATCGTTGGTCGTGACCACGCCGGTCCCGGTAAGAACTCCAAGGGTGAGGAGTTCTACGGTCCTTACGATGCTCAGCACGCCGTCGAGAAGTACAAGGACGAGCTCGGCATTGAGGTCGTCGAGTTCCAGCAGGTCACCTACCTGCCCGACACCGACGAGTACCGCCCCAAGGACGAGGTCCCCGCTGGTGTCAAGACCCTCGACATCTCCGGTACCGAACTCCGCAACCGCCTCCGCACCGGTGCTCACATCCCCGAGTGGTTCTCCTACCCCGAGGTTGTCAAGATCCTGCGTGAATCCAACCCCCCTCGTGCTTCCCAGGGTTTCACCATCTTCCTTACCGGTTACATGAACTCCGGCAAGGACGCCATCGCTCGTGCCCTGCAGGTCACCCTGAACCAGCAGGGTGGACGCTCCGTCACTCTGTTGCTTGGTGACACCGTCCGCCACGAGCTCTCCTCCGAGCTGGGCTTCAGCCGTGAGGACCGCCACACCAACATCCAGCGCATTGCCTTCGTCGCCGGTGAGCTCACCCGTGCCGGTGCTGCCGTCATTGCTGCCCCCATTGCTCCCTACGAGGAGTCCCGCAAGGCTGCCCGTGAGGCCGTCGCTGGCTCCGGTGGCAACTTCTTCCTCGTCCACGTTGCTACTCCCCTGGAGCACTGCGAGAAGACCGACAAGCGTGGCATCTACGCCAAGGCCCGCCGTGGCGAGATCAAGGGCTTCACTGGTGTTGATGATCCTTATGAGGCTCCTGCTAACGCCGATCTCACTGTTGATGTCTCCAAGCAGAGCGTCCGCAGCATTGTCCACGAGATCATCCTCATGCTTGAGAGCGAGGGCTACTTTGACCGCAACTAGATTAGCGTAGGCGCTTGGGAAAATATTGGATTTTATTTTGCGTGATACAGGTCGGATTTCGGAACCCTGGGAGGTTTTAGAGGATCTATTGCTCTATAGAGAGATTTTGAAATAATATTTGATTCCCCAATACAACTTCGGAGATTGTATATCAAGAAAATTCTTTCTTTCGTGAAGTCTTTGTAGTGTGTCTGTCTCCTTAGGCCTTAGTTAATTCCCTGGTAATTAATACTGTCAACTGGTGGGTTCAGACGGGCCGACCTGCAAACCACGCAAACACGCACCTGCACCTGACTTGGGTTGTTCTTCCGCCGACGACATCGTGACCCGTTTCTAGCACCAGCAGCTCTGCGACAAGCATCACAGAATGCTACCCCATCGCATTCCAATGCCTCGAATACCGGGGTCAGGTCGCTTGCTGCGACCTCCCATTCTACGCAGCGCCCGCTATCCCTCCCGCTCCTTCACCCAACAGTCTCGTCGACAAGTCATCTCCCCGCCTTTAGGTCGGCCTCAGCTACCTTTCCTCACATCCCCGGCAGGCAGTCGACCTCTTCCGCCCTTATCCTTACATCTCCGACAACATTTTGCGCGACTGGTATCGACCGAGAGTCGTGACTACTATAGGCGACGCATTTCCAATGGACTCAAAATCGGTCTTTCATTCTACGCCATGCTGGTGTTGTTCCAGGTGATAAAGTTGGGCGTATACCAGGAGGACATCGAACACAAATGGCCAACACCGCCGGAATGGTCTTGGAAGAGTCGGTGGTGCTTGCGCTCGGCACAGGCACTGCAGCATCCTGAGCAGATCGGCAAGCTCATGACCAATTGGCCCATGGTTGCGGGATACCTGAAAGATCTGCTGGAGCGACTGGAGGATCCGGAAGGCGAAGGAAAGGGCATTATGGAGCAAGAAGATGGAGGATTTCTGGTCGAAGGTGTTGGGAAAATGGGATACGATGTTTCTGCGAAGAGTGAGCCGTGGAGACGGGGCTACTTCCAGGCTCTGATGGGAGCTGCAAAGGCCGCGGAGAGTCTGGAGGGCTGGTTGACCGATCGCAAACAGCGTATCTCTGCTCCTGCGGAGTATGTTGTTGGCCCTTCGAACCCTCGCCCAAGGCCGATGCCCGCTGGACAGCAAGCTCCTCTAGAGGAGAACTGCGAGGCTGCTTCTCCTAGTCCGGAGAGCTTCTACATGAAGATCCTGACGACGCGGGGCTTCGACACAAGACAAAAGGTGGAGGCAGCGCTTTCATATGCGGACTGGCTCGATTACAAAGGATTGAAGAGTACTTCGCGCGATATGTACAGCTGGGCTATGGATATCGCGGCCGCCGGATCGTCCGTGGATGCCACAAAAGTCGTAGATGTGAAGACAGGCGTCTTGAAGAACGACAGCAAGTTGTTGCCATCTGAGAACATCATCCGTGTGTCCACAGCCCTCGCCGTTCACCACGCCAAACAGGGCGACCTGCCTAATGCGCTGTCCATCTTCACCTCCGTGCTGAAGGCCCGTCGGTCCCTTCCCGCAGCTTCATCCGACTCGGCTCTCCCGTTCTTCCCCTCTCGCGCACCCTCGGGCAATGACCCCTTCCGCGCCCTATTCAATTCTCTCAAAACCGTCCTCGTCCCCGTGGAGTACCCGCCCCCTCTACCGTCAGGCGACGAACCTCCTCAACGAACCCCCACTTCCGTCTGCGACGAAGCCGGCCTCATGACCTACATCGGTGAGATCATCTACGCCTCCTCTTCCAAGGAAGGTGGTCTAGCATGGACCCGCGACGCTGTGGACTTGGCCGAGGCTACTATCTTCGAGCTCGGCACTTCCGAGGAACTCCGCGAGCCTCGCGACCGCTGCGCAGACTGTCTGCGCGTCGGTATCGGAAACTGGAAGACCATGGTCTCCCAGCTGATCAAGCAAGCCGAAAAGGATGAGCAAGAGACCATCGAGAAGGCCAAGAAGGCTTGGTATGGAGGCCAGAAGCAGATCGAGGCCAAGACTCTCGAGAGGAAGAGATGGGAAGCCGAACGCTTGATCCTCGATGACCGGACGAGAAGACTCCGCGACTTTGTGGACGACGATACGGCCTTGAAGGGAATTGCGCCCAATAGCTCGCTTTTCACTTAGGCGTAGTGTCTGGTAAATCTTCCTGGTTTGTCTGGTGTCATTTTGTCGAATCAATGCATGGAATCGAGGAGTTGAGGCGAGGACATCTAATCATCATCATCTATCTATCTATCATCATGAATAAGCGCAATGGGTTGTCAGGGATAGGGTAATTTCTCTTCTCTGTGTATAATTTACAAGTTTCTTCAAAATGTACTTTGAAATACCAAAAGCTAGTCATTATATTCTCAATCCTGTATACTTCATTTACTCCATCCAAGATCCAAGCTCACATAGGACCTACACCCCCTCGACCCATTGAGATAACATCCCTGATTCTCATCTCACCTTGATAAGAGCATTGAAGGAACAAAGTATCACAACAACAGGTTGTGTAGTGTAATGGTTATCACTCTGGATTCTGATTCCAGCAATCCCGGTTCGATCCCGGGCACGACCTTTTTTGCTTTGTTCATATTATCTACTTCTCCATTATGCGAGTCGCATTTAATGTTATCGATTGATTGTGCTTTGATTTTGATTCTATTTTATTCTATTTATTAGTTTTTTTCGTTGTTCGTTTGTTTCTTTCCAGTTGGATGGTATCCAGAGTCATATTTATTCGCGTTTACTCGTAGATATGTATCAAGGGATTATCGAAGGTGATGATGCAACTACTACTGTCCTGGGGTGGGTGCTTTGGACTGACTATAGTGGTACTGAAATTGTGGCAGTTAGATATTTGGCTGTACTTGGAAAAGGTATACATGGGTTACTAGTAATGGCCTGGTCCTGTTAATAATGGTATGGGGCTTGGTACTATGGAGCAGATAGAGATGGCAAGCGATTTATATAATGGGAAATCACTATTATGATACTAGTAGTATCGGCCAGACTACTAGTATTATGGCAAGCTAATCACCATGGATCTAACTGCACAGTACTAGTAATCCGGAACTGGGCTTTTTCCTAAGGCCATTCTATTTGTCGCTCTAGACTATAATTCCATTTACACCTACAAGGCTATTCTTATTACTGGTATAAATGATGCTGCAAAATGCCAAGTCGAGATTCGGGAATATGTACTAGATTAAATTAAAAATACAACTGCAGCCTCCTGGTAGAAAGAACATGGTATTTTAGTCACCACCGACAACACTTCCACTGGGTAATGTGATCTCAAAGTCGTCAAAGTTTAAAGTGTAATTGCCGATCACACCGGAGGGAGTGAGGTCAACGGTGAATTTGTGGCTCTTGGCGTCCGAGTAGTCATCGGACAGGTAATCTTGGATGTTGCTTTCTGAGAACTCCGCCGCGGAGAGGGTGCCTGTTTCCTCTAGGATGTAGAGGACAGCGACACGGGCGAAGTCAAGCACTTCTGTTGTGACGGTTGTCGAGTTGGAGGATGAAGAAGTAGTTGCAGTCGTACTCGAACTAGAGGTGGAAGTTTGCGTGGCTGAGGACTCGTGGTTTGTCTTGGTTGCGGTCGCGGTTGCAGTTGCGGTTCCAGTACTGCTTGGTGGATCGTCATCGAAGACGATACCGTGCGCTGTAGCGACAGAGTCGCGGGCTGCAAGAGCTTGCGTGGGAGTACGTTCTGATAAAGCTGAGCTGGGAGAGTGCTCGACTTTGGCTAGCAGGTGACTGGAGATTGAGGGCTCCTCGAGGGACGAGTCAGACAGAGCACGGCGGGCTTTGCTGCTGCTTGTTGATACGCTGGAGAACGAAACAAGGGTGTTTTCCGTCGTGCAGGACACATTGCTCTGGCTGAATAGGGCCATGATCGTCACAGCATCAAGTGCGATGCTGTAGTTTTGCTGCGCGTACTCAAACAGGCGAGGAAGCTCGCTGCCCATGGTGGCGTTCTTACCATCGACTTCAGTGGTGACACAGCTGGCATCGCCAGAAATTGTACAGCGAGATCCGGTATAGCCGTTTGCACACACGCAGGAGCAAATACTACCGCTTGAGACACTGACGCCGCCATTTTCACATGGGTTAGTTGTGGCGCAGCTCGTACCACTCGACTTATGGCGCACCACGAGCAGACCCACGGGGATGAGGATGGCGGCCAAGATGACAATGATGATAACGACGCAAATAAGGGCAAACAGCCACGGGGGTAGTCCGCAGCATCGACGTGGTTGTTTCGGTGCGGCCTTTTCTTGATCATCACCATCTGCCCGTGGTGGTTCGTTGGAGTGAATCTGATGCAGCGTGGACCTCCTGAAGAAGAAAGGCCAAGACGAGTGACCTCCCTCAGGAGTTGCAGCCGGCGGGGGGAACGACGCCAAGATGCTCTTGATTGATCCTGACTTGCGTTTGGCGTCATCTATAAACACTGGTTAGCCTTTGTCTGACAATGGCACTTATGGCCAAACTTACATTGGAATCTGGAACCACCTCCGCCATTCAATAAATCATTTCGACTCGCAGTCCGGCCATGCTCTAGATTCGAGGCAAGTCTTGTCGCACGTCGAATGAGGTCAGGCAAACTCGTAAGGCTCCCTCGAGCCTCTGCGTCACGAACAGCACTCATGTTGAGACGTGGAGGCCGGCGGCCACCTGGGCGTTTGTCGCTCATGGTTGGCGCAGCCCTGGGAAGAGCTCCGATCTCCTTCTCCAAACCCCCATTGTCAACGTATGGACGAGCTAAGGCAGGATGTTGAGTGCTGACATCCAAGACGATGGGTGCTTTTTCCAGGTTGAAGTGCGCAGACCCTGTTGAGCTGGACGAAACAGAATCTCTCCGATCGGGCCCTATAGAAACTTCTTTCAGGATAAACTCCGTGCCCGTAGTCCCGGACGTAGTCGGTCTAGCAGACACTGGGGTCCTCTCTGAGGGCGGTACTGGCGAGCTAGCATTGGATTTTTGAATCGTGCGTAAGGAAGGTTTTCCTCTGGTCCCGACGCTGGCTTGCCTGAGGAGCGTAGCCGTAGCTACTCCGGCTTGGTGAGTAGAATGTCTAGAGGCATCATCGTCGGATTCGCCGTCCAGATACGTGCCCAAGATTTCCGATTCTGCCTGTGCTGAATACCAGCTAGGTGGATATGGCTGGGCAGAGCCGTAGTGATCTTGCGAAATGGTTGGGCTATCCGGTAATTCCTCCGGAATAGGCGAAACAGACGAGGCGCGCTGTCGTGCCGCAGGCACTGGAGGAGCAAGGCTAGCGGTCTTCTTTGGCGCGCCCCCTGGCGCAACACGCTGCTGTGGGGGAAGCGGATGAGGAACTGAGGGAAGTTCAGTGATCGACGAGACGGTGGAAATACCTGACTGTCGAAAGAGGTCGTCTGTGGCGACGGAAACGCGAGGTGTTGAACCTGCAACACTGTCTGGGCTAGGCGGCCGAGGAATAGGGATTCTGATGGCCGGACGCGGGCCTGACGGGATGGGGAACGGCTGAGAAAAGGAGGGAACTGGACGTTTGATGTTCAACGGGCTAGGTGCTGGTGGGACATCGGACATGCTTCTCTCCGAGTAGACCGAAGGGGACGGGCAATCCGGACGGGGTGGGCGCACAGGCGGAGGCCCTTTTGGAACGACCAAGGTTGCGTGAGGGTTAGCTAGAGTCGGCGGCAGAGGGGCGTTGTCGGGCAGAGGCCATTGTGTCATATGGGCTGGATTAATGCGGAATGAGGGCGCTGGTTCCTCTGGCGCTCTCTCAGGACGCTTTCCGGCCTGAAGCAACTCCCGCGCTCTTTTGACTGATCCTTTTCGCGCAACGTCCCCATCTGGCTGGGGCCCAGAGCCTGCGCTTTCAGCTTGGGGAGCCATGTGATATCAGTGCTAGATTGTAGAGTTGCTAGCAGTCATAGGAAACTTTTGCACAATACGGAAGTAAGACCGGCCAGCGCATAGGATGGAAGTCGATATAAGTGTTAGTAGTGGAGATATTTTTCTTCAACAACGGAGAGCAGGTCGATGCGCGAAATCCAGCTCGACTGGGTATGAGACGAAAGTCAAAAGCAGATGCAGGAAAATAGCGAAACAAGTCCGAGATCATCAAATTTTTAGAACTGTCGGACGCTGTGCAACAGTCTAGGCTTGAAGCAATGGGCTCAGAATTCAATCAAATGAAAGTGGTCGACAACAAGAGTCGCAATGGCACTCAATGCCTCTGGAGGGAATGAGTAAGTCGATGCTACAATCTCAGACATCATAGAAAGCCAGATCAGACGCTTGCATACCGCACAGGAAGAATAAAAATAAGGTCTTTTGTTCAAAAGAAGAATGAAGGAAAGTTGACCCAGGTCAGAGAAGTATAATATCAGACCCCCAAGGCTCAGCGAAAGCTTTGGCTGTCCGTGAAACCCCTGAACGCATAGTTAGACACTTGTTAGTTACACCTGATTACAGGGGGAAAGAAACACTGTCGGACTTACGGAGTCATAAATCAGACAAAAAGAATGACAGGGAACAAAAACGAAAGAGCTTCTAGCCCTTACTTTGGGGGAAAGAGCGAACGACTGGAGAGCAGAAAGAAAGAGAACAACCCCAGTGTCGCGTCAAAACAGACACAGTCTCAGTCCTTTGGGCGATAGCGCCTCACACGGATGGGAAAGCAAGGCCAAGGGTTTTCCAGCACCCCGGGCGAACCAAAAGTCAGACGTTGATATTAAAGTGCTTCATTTCCGTCCTATGCGCAGGCATTAGGACCGGATAAGGGCGCAGACGTTTTAGAGTCGGACCAGTTCAGTCACAAGTGGAGTTGATCCAGCGCCAATAGCGCGGGGACAGGCACGGAAAGCCGTTTGTGACAATGCTGGCTACTATTAAGAGACCCAGCGCGCGATACCCAGCCTCCCACGTAAACAATGCATTTAAAAGGTGGTTGACCAGCCAGACATCCTGAGCTGAAGCCGCTTCGTTTGGGCGACAGTCAAGGTGACGAATAGCATCCCCTACCACGGCTACCAACCTCATATGCATGATAAATTCCCTGGTTTTCCCTTCACCATTTCCAGTGTACGGAGTCTGCATGCAGACGGCAAGCGGAGTCCCATGAGTCGCAATGCCAGGCTACCCAAGAGGGGGACAGGGTAGGCGAGGGCCGTCGATTGGCTCGAAAATGAGGATACTGAATAACCGGAGAAGCTAAAAGCTGGCGGGTCAAGACCCGACCTTGACTGTGCGCCAGGCCATTGGTCAGGAACGGAACGACCAAGAGGATGGCGGATGGACTAGGTCTCACCTTGAACAGGAGTACCGCTCCTCTACGGCCCTGGGATTTCAACATGAAACCGTCGACGAAGCTCCTCCCGTGTGCAGCGACCAATAAACGAGCCGAACAAGCGAGCGAGGCCTGGTCATTCAGCGCAGACCATCCGCGAGTCGCATACGATCCTGGCTCGGGTAGCTCCACTGTATATCAGCGCCTTCAAACTAACCGAGTCTCACGACCGTTATAGATTGGTGATAGTGACGAAGCGAGCAATCTCAATCAAAGCTGGCGATGGCGCCTTTTCCCGATTGCACATTTTTCTCTCTCGACTATCGGATTCGAAGGAAGGATACCCGTAAAGCCCAGCAATTGCGCCGGTTGTCAACTAGCACTCTTAGATCGTAGAACCCGTCTCGTTGTCCGTCGGGCAGAAAACTCATTGCGGTTTAGTGAGTGAGCTCCGGAGATTAAAAGCACAATAGTCGGAATACGGGAATAGATTAAGCGGGTAAACATCATATGAGGACCTGGACGGCCGGTGGGCGGGATAATAATAGTATCCTCCTATTTCGTTCATGGTCTGTGAGGGCAGTCTAGAAGAATATGTGAGATGGTCAGGATAGGAAATCCATCCGGAGGGTAAAAGGCAAGAGGCAGAGTGGCAGCGAAGGGAGGAGAGGAGGGAAGCCTTTGGAAAGCGACTGGGATGCGAGGCTCAACGGCCAGCCATCCTGCAGCCACTCCTGCAACTGCAAGTCTGCAACAACAACCACCCCCGTTTCCACTCGAGAAAAAGCCGACGTTTGTCTGACAGGGGAGTTCGTTGGTACCTTAGTTCTTTTCCCATCAAATGCTTGGTCAATCTGTCGAAATTGCAAAAATTGGTTCGGGCCATAGACAGAGTGGGTATGGTCTATGGGATGGTGTATCTAGTCTGTCAACAACTACTCCATCCTACCTATCCAGTCAGTTAGTATACCCGCCCATCTGGTAAGTAATTAATGCTCCCTGGTCAAATGCGCTGGACCTTCCAAGGCAGAAATAAAAATAGACTCTGGTGGAATTATGTACCGAGAGTGGGTGCATCTGTTCTTCTATCCCATATTGCTCTTCATTTATTTTCTTATCAACTGCCGTAGCTTGCATGTAGTCAGTCTATTTATATGCACAAGTCTAGAATTTACAATATGGACTGGCTACTGCCTGAGGCACGATCCTGGCGACAGGCAGGAAACTGATCCCAGCTTGAGCCTTTCACATCGCTTCAATCACCACTACCACCACCACCACTACCTTACTTCTGGCGCATGGTGGCCTAGAAGAGGCCCCTTGCGAGCACCACCAGCCTCTCTCAAACCTGGCTCAGCTCATTCCGCACTCGATGAACTTCCTTCTCCACGATGCGCATCTCAACCATGACACTAGCGAGTTGGGGAAGGCGACTCTCAACGGCTTCGGTGAAGGACTTTTGGGCGCTGCGAAGATAAGGGGGTACCAGGATCCCGTACCAGTGGATCGGGTCCGAAGAACGAAACTTCTTCTTTTTCGATCGCTTGGGCTTATCATCCGCATCGGGCTCTGTTTGGAGGGTCTCGGTTGTGGTTGAGAGCTCATCAGCTTGGGTACCTCCCTCTTCGCGTTGTGGCCGATCTTCCTCAGGCGAATCGGCATCTGATTCGGGCTTCTCGTCCGTGTCGGATTCGTCCTCTGAATGTTGGACGGTAACTGATTCGATCCCAAATATACTGGAGTTGGAACCGCTATGTTCGGTGTCAGTCGGCGGTAAGTGGTCCTTCTCCGTTGCGTAGCGTTCCTCAGCCAGGTTGGTAGGAGGTTGTAGAGTCCTGATCAGGATGAAACCAGTTAGCACCGCGTCTTGGAATGGTAACAAACATATACCGGACTCACACTCTTCTTGTCGCCTTCATGCGCTCATCATAGTAATCTGCCCCATAGTGTCGACCCGGTGGACAAGTATAGTTGGCTTGGGCAAGAGAGAAAAACCCCTGGTGTTGTTCTCAGTATCGCTTACCGCAACATAGCCTCAAGCTTGCTATGGCGAAGTGACTTACCGACGAGAGCTTCGACCCTAGCTCAGCTTGCAACTTCTGATGCTGATCTAAAAGGTGCAGATACCGCTCCAATAGATTGTCTAGCGACTGCAGCAAGTCCTCCGGGGCATCTGCTACAGGAGCTTGCTTGGGTTGGGAATCCGGAGCTGGTGAAGCTGAACGGGAAGCGGGCGGAGTAGGGATTTGCGCCATTGGGATCTGAAGGTGAACACAGCGAGCGATCTGCAGCGCATGGACACTTTGTCCAGCAAGAAAACAGTTTAATTGCGAGTGAAGGCTTCAACCGTGGTTGTTGGCGAAGAGCGGAGCCATTCTGGAAGCCGAGGGGAAGATCCCCCGTGGAGGTCGGCCGGCGAGTCCGATAACTCCGTCATCGCGCCTCCGAGCCCAAACGCAAAAGAATTTCCCGGAGAGCCTGCCAGCGATTATCCCTTCAACGCTCCGCTTGCATCCCCATCCGGAAGCACCTGTTTTTATTTATATATTCTGCTTGTCAGAATAACCTTATAACGACTCTTGCTGGGATAGAACCCCTGGTCTAGTTGACTGTTGAGGCGACTCGACTCTTGACCGGTACGCCACCTACTTTGCGCTGTCCGAGGACATCTCAACCCTTCTGCGAAAAGCCTCTCGGAGTCGGACGTCCTCGGTAAAGACGACTCGGGCTGTTCCTCTTTGGGACTTGAAAAGCTAACGCGAATAGCATCGCCTAGCTGTACCCCCGCGTTAGCGGCCGAGCCGATTAGAAATCCAGGATCCCTGTATTCTGGAATCGCTTTTAGCATCATCATCATCAACATCATCTTCAGCTTGTCTTATCTTTCCAGTTAATACAAAGTTTATAATCGCATCTCTCCACTCAAATTCGCCCATCATGTCTGTGCCGACCATGCAGCGTGAAACGGCCTTCCAGGTCCGGTCTCTGGTATGCCCTCCCTGCTGAACCTAGATTGCGCGGAATCCCTCCTACACTCCTATCACAATGGCACTGGGGGCTAACCAGTCATTTTATGCAGTTCCGCTCTTTGCTTCGTCAATCCTCCCAGTTCTCGAACTACAACTTCCGCGAGTATGCCCGCCGGCGCACGTTGGATGCCTTCCGCGAGCACCAGAAGGAATCCGAGGACCGACGGATACAGGAGTTGATCCAGGATGGACTACAGAACTTGCGGATGATGAAGGTCAGTATATTCCTCGGATGGACATGATTAGATGTGCCCGCGTTTGTCTCTTTTATGCAGACCATGCATTCTGAGTCAAAGCGGGGGTGGACGCTAGTGAACGAGCTGCTAATACTTTTGCAGAGGCAAACCGTTATCAGTCAGTTCTACCAGCTGGATCGGTTGGTTGTTGAGGGTCAGAAGACTGTGAGTATTCAAGGAGCCTGTCTGTGATTGCAATGAAGCTTATTAGTTATTAGGGTAAGCAGACTGGCACGGAAGGAAACATTGTTCGCCAGAAGGATACTGGGTAAGATGAACCCTTCGTTATCTAGTTTCATTGGGGGCCTTTGCTGACGTCTTTTTAGCTGGGACTAAACGCCCAACGGGGATCATTTGTTTTTTTCGTAGCGAGAGTACGGAGTTGAGGGGAATCCAGCACCAATACGATATCAATATCATTTGGGGCCATTTGAGCCGATGGCCCGAAGATGAAGGAATAGCATAGATCGAAGGGTTCTGTATTTTTATTGAAAGCCACTGCGCTTTAGGTAGCGATTCTTACTCTTACTCATCTGGAATACCATTCTTCGCTCTCTATTAGCCCAATCCATCTCATCTTGGAAACTGTAGTTGATGGTAGGTAGTCATGTTTATTCTATGTGAGGGTTCTGAGTAACCCCAGTCACGTGCGGGGGCGGCGGCGCGGCGTTTCGCTGATTGATCGCATCGCGCTGCTCCGATTCACCATCACCTCCAAAACAGCCTCGCCCTCCCAAAGAGTCCCTTCTCTTACAATCGGGCAAACCACACCCAGCTCCGTAGATTCACTGGGTGAGG